AAATAATCAAGGAAAGGCGATAGAAGGCACTTACGAAGGCCGAAGTAGCTTCCTGCGGAAGAATGTTGAGGTCCTGGTCTTGAGGATGAATGGGCGTTTCCGCCGTTGCCTCTGGTTCCTCGGCCAGTCGTTTGCCACGGTCGGTCGTGGAAGGGCCGATTGGGACAGCCGCTTCAGACGTAGAATGGACATCCTGGTCCTGTGGAGGAGCGGGTGTTTCGGTCGCCGCTACTGGTTCCTCGGCCGGTCGTTTGCCACGATAGGCCGTGGAAGGGCCGACTGAAACGGCCACCTCAGACCCAGGAAGAGGTTGACGGCGGGGATGAGGGCGACTCGCTACTGGAACTTCGTCGCTCCCCTCGCTCTCTTCTAGAACGACGATCGAAGGTTTTGGATGTGCGGGAGAAGTCTTCTCGATCGCAGGGACTGCCTTTTCTAGGACAGGCGTAGCCCCGACCGATGGAGCTACAACTGGTGCACCGACCCCAGAAACAGGCCGTGCTTGGACTGTTTTTACGGTCGGAGTTGGCTGTTTCTCGACCAAGGCTTGGCCGATGGTGAGAGAAGAGGAAACACTGGGAGTCATCGCTCCCGTAGTTTGACTGGAGATGACGTGGATCTCCCGTGCTCCTTTCTTTGCCAGCTTTTTGACCCGCTTGGCAGGCCGAGGGGCTTCGATGGTCGGCTTGGCCTCTTGACGAGGTCGTTTGCTCGGCAAGACAGGCACAACGGTTTTAGCCCTCTTCGAGGCAACCGATTTTTTCTCAGCCGCAGCTGCGGCGACCACTTCCACTTTCTTCAAGGACCGGCTACCTGGGGAAGCAAAAGCAAATCAGCAAAGCAAATCAATAGTTCAAAATTGAAAGAAAAAGGTAGAAATAAACCATTACCTTGGGTTTGGGGGCAGAAGCCTTCTTAGGACGACCACCGAAGAGTTTGGCAAGAACAGTGTCAACCGGAACACCAAAGAACTGTTGGGTATATTCTTGCCACCAAGCACCGAAGGTATCGGTGTAAAAAGTTTCTAGAGTGGCCGGTCGAAGGCGGAATTTCTGGCACCGCTCCTGGAACTCTTTTTTTACGTCACTGCATTCCTTCTCGGAAGAACCAGTTTCGCGTCTATGGCTTAGGACGAACCGAGAGGAGAGAAGAGGGACCGGGCAACCTTGGAGGTAGCCAAGCTGCCGAGCGAGGAAGTTGGGATGATACACTTCCCAACTCGCTCGGCGGTCCTCACAGCCAAGAGGAAGGTCATGGGCAAGCACGAAGGACCCCCAGGATTGACGAAGGTCGGCATCTTCGTCCACGCCCCATGCTGACGTAGGAAGTCTGATCGACGAAGGGTATTCTCGACGACGACAAATCAAGAATTCGTCATCAGAAAGGTCGTCGAGAGCGAAAAAGTATCTGAACACTTCTTCAGCTTGGTGGGGGGGGATTGGCCGAAGAGCCAGTTGGGGGCCGAGCGCTTCCTTGGGCGAGAAATCGGCCATCGTTGGCTGAAGAGGGGCAAAATAGACCTGCAGCCAGAGTTGGAAGACCCAGAAGGGCCCATTCTGCTGCGGATCGACCTTGTCTAGAGTGACTTCGGCCAAGCAGCGTAGGAGATGTGCGAGAATGGCCGGGCTGAGTGCCAAAGTGTGACCGCTAGCTAAAGCTTCGGCCATTGGCATATTCTCGACCAGACACTTATTAGATTTGGTACAACAAATAAATTTGTTGTACCAATAGAAGAGGAAAGCCTCGTGCTCCCCTTCTCACAGAGCCTCATCTCCTCGACCGGCAAAATGGAGATAGAGGGTGTTATAGTTGAAGAAGTTCTTGTGAAGCTCGTGGACCTCTTCCTTAGAGGGTGTTTGGCTATCACCGCTCAGCGTCTCAAGGGCCTGCTTGTCGAAAAGCACCTTCAAATTGAGGTTCAACGGGTACCCAGGGAGGGCAGCATCAACTGGGATTCCAGTTGGGGAAGTCCCCAAGATGGCAGGGAGGTCGAGGATGGTGGGGCCAATGGGGCCGAGAGGGAGAACCATGGTGTTAGTAGCTAAACACCAGAAACATGAGGCCTCCAGGAGGAGTTCCTTGTCCAGGATGATATCCATGGACGAGAGGCGAATGGCATCATAAATGCCTAGGGCTTTCCATTGCTCGCCGAAAAGCCTTTCCATTCGTACAACCCAGGCTGCCCAGGCTGTAGTGGTCGAGGGCCAGGAGCCCTGAGGCCTCGCCACCTCCCACTTCGACCATTCAAATCCTTGTAGCAAGGATGACAGACAGTGCTTCTAGAAGAGCCCGATGATGGTTGGCGGCACCGCCGCCTTAAAGAGAAGACCCAAGATTTGGTGAGGGGTACTCATGTCACTCTCAAATCGGATGGTCTTGATTGAACTCCGATCGATGATTTTCTGGCATTGGTCACACTCCTTAGAAAGCTTGGAGATAAAGGAGGCCATGGGGAATGGTTTGACAAGAAAAAAAATTTCTGGGTTTAAAGATTGAGGAACGAAGACTTGGGAAAAAGAACTGCGCTGGAGAACAAGGGCAAGAAATTTTAGAGAGATTTTGAAAGCGTAAAGTATACTGAGGGATTTCAGTATTTATAGGATTTTGGAAGGAAGGGCAATCGTTCGAAATTCAAAACAAAGGGCCAAATCGACCAAAGGAATCGCTGATCATGATGAACATTCAGGATATGCAGTTGAGAAGACCGAGAGTCTCAGGTTTTGGGGGTGCACGATTGCGTGTGATAGCGAGATTAATGGCGGAAGACGTTTCGACGTCTGCACGATGACAAACGGCTCGCGGATTGAGGCAGAGTGGCCATGTTCAGCCATAAGGACATGATGGCATGACGGTTCAGGTAGTCGCACGCCTTAGACGTCATTATTAGGGATTGGCCGTGTTAGAAGACGCCACGTGGCGAGTGGGTTAGCAGGATCAAGATTGTGCAATCGTGCTCAATAAATGCGCCTTAGAAATAGAGCACTAGGGTTCTGAGGATTTCATTTGCTTCTTCAAGGCCGAAACTCGGCCAACGAAATCAGACCAAGGACCTCAGAAGCGAGGGGGCAATATTTGGGCCCAAAATAATAGTTTGGGCCTAAAATAATAGTTTGGGCCGAGTATAGAATCATTCTCGGCCCGGAAGGCCTTGCGACAAGAATGCCATGGATCGTTCAGTACGTGTGCCTCCAAACCTAGGTCGGCTAGGTCATAACGCAAGAAGTCGAGTCCTAGTGCAATGAGGAGTCTCGGCAGGACTAGTAACCCGGAAGCGAATCCGGCTCGGTTAAGGACTAGGTTCACAATCCTAGTGAAAATAGGACTGGTCGAGTTGGTGTTGATCAGGAGGAGAAGACCTAGTCCGATTAGGGTTTTAACTCGGATTCAAAGAGATCCAGTGCTATAAATAGGGGAGGCTGTGCATCATTCAAACCCCTTACAATTCAACACAAAACTGCCATGCGCAAGCTTTCTCAACAACTTTGAGAGTTTTTTTCTTTTCTTTTCTCGCTGACACATCTTCCGTTGGCATCAACAGCACTGTGGAAGCAACCGGTGATATCTTAAGTCGGCATAGATAGCTCTATCATCGTAGAATCAGTCAGTCTCGCAGTATCTTCCGTTAGCATCAACAGCACTGCGGCGAGGACGGTTGGTTACCTATCCAAGTCTCGGTCGAGAAGGATTTCCGGATCCTTATTGATTGAGGTCATCTCATTAGCTTCCTCGGCGAAGTGAGATGTTACAGTATATCGAGCTCGGCGCATTGCACGCCGAGTTATTTTATGATTGGATATTCCCAAGTGGGATTTAGAGTTCGACATTCCGACGGCCGAACCACGTTCACCATTAAAACTTATATTTGCTTTGAGTATTTGTGCCCTTACACTTTGGTGTCGATTCGGCATGAGTTTACTCTGACGAATAACATCACTGTGACTGAATCCGACGACGACGACTCGTGAACTTCGTAAGAATAGTAACCTTGTCTTCAGGTTCGAGAACCCAAGAGGCCGAGACGCGTTCCTTCATCGGTCGCAATCGCAAGACGCAGGGGTCAGCCGCGCACCCAACGCAACATCAACAAATTTACTCCTCGGCCGACGAGTTGGCACGCCCGCATTCACCGAAGGACGTAGTTAGGTTATAGATTACTCGGCCTGCGCGCCACGTAGGCTTGGTAGTTTCTAGGGTCAACAACTAGGTAGACCAAATTTTTAAATCAAATAATGTGTTACTAATAGGAAATAACATGTTAATCAATACTTAGGTAATAATTCAATCGTCCACAATCACATCATTCTGTTTACAAAATTTAATTTAACATTTTGGTTTCCCCAGTATTACCCAAATAAAAATATGAAAAATCTATTATTTGTCAGTTGTATCCTTTTTTTTTTTTTTGTCAAATGATAAATTTTTTAGATTAGATGTTAGATTAGAAAGCCAACGGAGTTTGAACAAATGCCGCGGTGTAAGGACAACACTCATTTTCACCATTGTGATAGAGGGCCACTTGCACTTGCAGTAACCTATTTTTTCATTGAATAACTTGTTTGTTATAATTTGCAAAGCAATAATGTATAAATGGGCTAAATTAGGAAAGAAAGTCAAAGGTTATTAACCACCCAGAATTTAATGGGGGCCAATTAGCTTAAAATGGGGCAAATTTCTATCAGGATTTGCATGATATAGTATGAAGTGGTAGAAGATTAGGAAGCTTGGGGGGCCATAACCGTTGGGGATTTAAATGTGGTTATGTGACAAATGGTAGTGTAGAAATATGACGAAAATATCATTCGAATAGAGGGATTTTTGTGGGGTGACGAAAATATTTCTCAACTACAATTCACTATATATATGAGTGTTCTTTTTCAGGAAATTATATATATCCTTTTACTTGATTGGATAACTAAATATTATTTGGTTGGAATTAAAGAAGTCCATATATTATTTATGATCAAAGAAATATTATATGCTTTGACAAATTAATTGCAAGAGTGAATTTGAATGCAAATTCAAGCGGTGAGATTTCTCAGATAAAATAAAAAAAGTTTCTTTTTCTTCTTTTAGTTTGGCCACTCATTCTTTTTCAGAAATGAAACCTCTCTACGACTGCGATTATCGTAGAGTCCTTTTCTATGGTAACACATTCCTCACCGTTCACTGATTATAAACTATATAATTATACTAACTCAATGAAGTCCATTGTTTCTGATCGAAGAAATGTTATCTTCTGCTAAATGTTAAACACGGCGTCCCCAAAGATGAGATTGATTCTAATTGGTCACGAGTATATTGTAATGACTTTCATGCCCCAGCTGAAAGCAAAACCATCTGCCATCTGCATGATGGAGCCAGAAACATTTTCAATGTGAACAACTTTAAATGATGAAATTAAAGAGAAAATTCAATACAGTGTTATTAATTTATTGTCCAACTACATAATTTTGGGTAATTGGTGTTTAGAACGCTAAAATTGTAAATTATTAGCTAATGAAAAAAATTACATAACGAAGAAGGGTAAGAGAATAGAAAAAGTGAAAAACGTAAGACATGTTGCAGTCCTATTATATTATGAATGTGATTGTGTAAGTTCTAGTAGATCTAGTGATATCTCATATATTCCTATTAAGAGTTGATTACCTATTAAGAGTTGTAATCCTAAAAGTGTAAGGAAGTAACCGTTCCTACTACAATAAATAAAGGCACAATGGGGTGAAATAGAACACACCCACAATTACACATCTCTCTCTTCTCTCTACTATTGCCGCACCTTTCTCTCTTTCTATGGCCTTCATAATTTTTCAATAAATTACAACAAGACAATAATTTATATTTTTTTTCTGAACAAACAATATTTTCTACACTAATGGGAAGGGGTGGCTAAGTCTCACAATAAGCTAGCAATAATGTAGTTCAAATTCTCCTTTGATAAGAATCGAATTTAAGACCTCTCATTTACAAGTGAAAAGGAATACCACGAGATTGTAATACTAAGTGACTAAAATAATTTATATTTTTAATTAGAGCAAATTTTCATCACAAAATTATGGAGCAGCTGCCCTAGCGGACATATGATGCGTCCATGGCCATCTGCCATCACATAGAGACTTAGTTTTATATATTCACCATGTTTACTTTTTATGTATGAAAATAAAAATAAATGAGTATGATTCCTTTCACACATGTACTAACACCTAGTGAATAGAAGAACAATGATTATGAGAAAGAAGCCACTCTCATGTTTATCCCAATAACATACGGGTTGTTTTATCCCATATCTAATCTTTCACCATTTCTTCTAGAGTAAATTATATAGTAGCCTCTCGGGTTTGAAGTCTATTACAACCTCATACAACATCTTTAAAACATTTCACTTTCATACCTCAAGTACTATTTTATTTCAAAATAATACCTCCGTTACATTTTTCATCCATTGATCCGTTAAGTGCTGACGTGGTTGCCAAATGTGTGCCACGTGGTTGCCAAATGTATGCTACGTGGAAAAAATAATAATTTTTTAATTTTAATTTTTTTGAAAAATCTGAATCTTCTTAAAAACAAAAACAAAAAACAAAAGCAAAAGCTGAACCCCTTTCCCCTCCCCCCACACCCACACACAAAACCCAGAAACTTACACAGCCCCTCTCCTAGACGACCCACCTCACCCCACCTCGCAGAGGCCCTTCCTGTCGCCCCCTCCGCCCCCCCCCCCTCATCTCCCCCATCTTCATCTTCTTCCCCTGACCCTCGTACCTGCAACCCAGAGAAAAAAAAAAACCCCTCTAAACTTCGATTCTTCTCGCTTAGCCACAAACAATTGTTTCGCGGTCAGACAGAAGCGTGGAGGACTTATCTTCATTCATGGAACTACATCTATTTGACAACACTGTGTATGAACATAATCATTTTATGGTTGTTACTCAGATAAATTAGGCATTAAACTTTTAACACATTTTAAAGTGTCGGTGCAGTTTAACCAAAGCACAATCCAAGATCCCTCACTTTGAACTGGAGATTAAGCCAAAAAAAAAAAAAACAATTACCCACAAGACTTCTACAGACTCGTATTTATGCAAGAAAAATAGAAATTCGAAAGGAAAAAGCTAAATCACTTACATGGGCAGGTGCATGTCCACTGCAAGAATCGCATTGTTGGCCTTGAGGTCATATCTGTGACACAAAAAGCAAACAAAATCAATCCCACCACACCAAATTATGTGTTCTTGTAGCTCACAGTACAGTGAACCAAAGCATAGAGTATAAGCTCATCTACACACTTGAGCTAGAAAGCCCAAATATTGCTTAGGCAATAGATCAAACATCTGGCGGGCAACATAAAGCTTCATGCATCTGAGTTTTGCGCAAAAGAAAGAAAAAAGAGCAAAAAGGGTTTGAGAGAATGCGGCATACTTCTGCAAGAACCCCTCGTCGACGACGGCGGAGATGTCTAGCAGTGGGTTGCCCATCCTCAACAGAATTCCCTCGGACGCCATTGAGAGAGAGAGTTGGAGCTGGAGCTTAAGAAACAATAGCAATTACAAAGATGGAGAAATCAGATCAGATCTATGGAGGTTGGGATTGGGATGGAACCAAATGTGTATGTTTAGTGGGTTAGTGGGGTCTCTCGCAATGAAGTAGGTGGGTTACAGATGAGAGAAGGGAGAAAGGGGGTGGGGGTGAAGAGGAGAAAGAGCTCGGGGAAGGTGGGGGTGGGGTGGGTTTTTGGATGGGAGGGGAGGTGAAGAGAGTGGAGGAGAGGGAGAAGAGGGGTAGGGAGAGGTTGCGGGGGTGGTTCTGCATTTTCTAAGTTTTGGTTTTTTTTTTTTTTTTTTTTTTTTTTTTTAAGAAGATTAAGATTTTTCAAAAAAAAAATTAAAAAATTATTATTTTGCCACGTGGCATACATTTGGCAGCCACATGGCACACATTTAACAGCCACGTCAGCACTTAACGGATCAATGGATGGAAAATGTAACGGATGTATTATTTTGAAATAAAATAATACTTGAGGTATGAAAGTGAAATGTTTTAAAGATGTTGTATGGGGTTGTAATAGATCTCAAACCTGATGGGCTACTATGTAATTTAGCCTTTCTCCTAATTAGGTGGTTAAAATTTTTGAAAATTGAAAGAACCGAAGCTAATAAAATCGAACAAAAAAATCAAACCGAATTTGAAAAATCAAACCGATTCGAAATTGGTTGGTTTGGTTTCTGTTTCAGTGGTTCAAAAATTGAACCGGATCAAATCGATTTAACCTTTAAAACGACGTCGCTTAACTCCAAAATGATGTCGTTTTTTTACCCTATAACCCTAGTTGCTCGCCTGCTCCTCGCTTCTTCTTCCGTACTTCTTCGCTTTGTGTTGCTTTGCTGCAGCCCACCCGCAACACTTCTCTCTCTCTCTATCTCTCTGTCTCTCTTCGACTCTTCAAGTAGAATTTGATCATATCTTTAATTAGCACGATGTTGCTGCAGATTGGACCGTGAGTGGGAAAATAAGAGCACAAGCGTAATGCCTAACAGAGTCGAAGAAAGCCTAGGTCATGGACGGAGTGATATCATTGTGGCAGGGAAGCTGGCAATTAGAAGTTCTAATCCCTCATTTCTCCATGATAGAGTTTTGAGTGAAGGTTTGTCCAACACCGGGGCATTCCCCTTCTCAATTGGGGCTTATAAGGAATTTGTCCTTTAGATTTGTAATGTGGGCTTGCCTAAACTAATACCCTAAGGGTGTGTTTGTTTGGGCTCACTAAGTTTCACTGGACTGGACTGGACTATAGTCCAGTATTTGTTTCGCACGGGAATTAAGTTTAATGGGATTAGCCGGTACTCGCTCCGACTAACCCCTTCGCTAAAAGTTCTTAGCGAGAACCCCAATTCTCACGGGATTGCTAAGCCCTTCTTTGAGAGCGTTGCTCGTTCCTCATTCTTGGTCGTCTTTCTCGTCGGTCCTCCTCCTCGCTGATCCTCCTCGCTCGTCCTACTCCCTCGTCCTGCTCGTCCTCATCTGGTAAATTCCAAATCCGACGACCTATTTCTATGATTTTGTTTTGTAGATTGTGAAATTATTATTGGGTTCTGATCGATTTTGTTGTTTTGGGTTCAAAATCTATGACATTATTAATGGGTTCTGATTGATTCCTCGTATAATCCTTTTATTTATGATATACCTTCTTATAATTTGAAGAAATCAAAATCAGTTATGATTTCAATGTTCGATCTTTTGATCTACCATTATTTTCCATATATTAAGTGAATTCTCTAGCCCCCTTGCCTATTTGGACAGTCTAGTTTGAGATGATATAGTAGTTGATAGCTGTGAGTGCATCAGTCATTTTTAATGTCCACTGGGATTGCAGTTTTGTTGTAGCTTTGTATAATCGTGATACAATATGATGCTTTTACCATTGCCATTGCATTAGTTTCATCTGGTCCCATAGGGTCACAGGGTTAACTTAGTTGTTCGGTTGATGTTTGCGAGAAAATGGTGTTATCCTTGTTGTTCAGAAATAATTTTGAATTTTGATTAGAAAGATTGTCAATTTTTGTGGATAATTTTAGTTTTTTTTCTTCAATTTTATGGTTTTGAGCACAGTATCAGCATCCCTTCCTTTCACCATATAGTATGTACTTGTGGCACAAGAGAAGTACCAAGTATCGTGTAGGTCCTTACCGATGCTTGTTCTCTCAACGAACACAACTATATATATATATATATATATATATATTTGGTGGTGAGGATTTACTTCTATGAGGTATTTCGTTATCTAATTTCTTCAAAGTGGTGGTGTTACTAGGTTTGCCAGATCCTCAGGGATGCAGCCACTAGTTACAACATGATTATAGTTTTCTATTAAGTAGAATCATCATTTCTAGGTGTAGCGCCTTTTTGAGCTTTGATTGTGAAAGAGGAAATTTTCCTCTGTAACTTGTTAGAAATAGTCTAGTTGTGATTGTGACTATGTATTGTATCTAACACTTGTGGCTTTTACTTGTTCGTTCACACCTCATTTTGTTATTTTATTGTGTTGGATTGGCGGTCCATTTTTTACTGGTACCATGCATGTAGAGGCTTCCTTATTGGTAATGTAAGTAGGAATTGGTATGCTATGTTGAGGTTGGAGCTCTTGTCTTGTTTCGTTATGTGTCTAAAATTCGTGAGTGAGTGTGAGATGAGTGAGTGGGTGTGAAATGGTTGGCCATTCATGTCTGATCTTGGTTTTCAACACCTCTAGGCATTTGAACTCAGATTTCTGTCTTTAAGTATATGCATTCTTCAGATGCTTACTTAAAACCAACTTAGTGAAAATGATTCAATGTTAACGGTTGATCTCATTTTCTTTTAAACAGTTTGATTCGAATTTGATTTAAAGAGGAAACAGCGCTTTTGAGCATTTCGTCTCTTGACTTCCTAAGGTTAATTGTTTCTTGTTATCAGACATACTAGAAAGGTCGACATATAAAAGATAAATACAATAAAGGTTAACAACTATTTAGAAACTTTCCCTATATTGGACAATCTCAGTGTTGACTTGTTGTGAAGTGACCTAGAACAAGCCAATGATCGGTACTCTTGTGTTCGCATAGGGTAAGCTTTTGTTTGTGCCTTTTGATCTTGTTAGGAAATAGAAAGGAATTATAAATATGCAAATTAAAAAGGAATAGATTCTATTGAATAAGTTTACAACTAAATGAATCCAAAGCCTTTGCTCTAAAAAATATTGTGCTATTGTTGAGACCCCTGCTGATTCTATTGATGGAGTTTCGGTTACATATTTTCACATAAAGCAATATACTTAAGACTAGGACAACATATTGATGGAGTTTACTTCTTTTGATATAGTTGCCTTGTTTCATGCTTACTTCTTTTGTCTAAAGCTTAATTATGATGTCCAGTGGAAGTGTTAAGTTTTCTGGGCATGTGCTTTCACCTTCTATGTATGTAACAGGGACTTTTGTTGGTATACATGGAAATAAGACTCATTAGCATTCCTGAATTTTGTGAGACGGGAGTTGTTGTTGTGTTAAACTTGGGGAATCTTGAATGTCGTACATTCAGTGTGTGTGTATGCAGTATGTGTGCAGTGTGTGTGTGTGCAGTGTGTGTGTGTATGCAGTGTGTGTGTGTGTGTGCAGTGAGTGTGAGTGTGTGCAGTGTGTGTGTGCAGTGTGTGTGTGTGTGTGCAGTGAGTGTGTGTATGCAGTGTGTGTGTGTGTGCAGTGAGTGTGAGTGTGTGCAGTGAGTGTGAGTGTGTGTGCAGTGTGTATGCAGTGTGTGTGTGTGTGTGTGCAGTGTGTGTGTGTATGCAGTGTGTGTGTGTGTATGCAGTGTGTGTGTGTGTGTGCAGTGTATATTCTTGCTCCTATATTTGTTACGCATGCTAAATTTTAGTTTTGCTATGTTGATATAATCTTAGAGAAATAAAGAAGCCGATGGATGGAGAAGCAAACATTTTCCACTGTTTGATAGATTTGCATATATATTTGGAAAAGATCGGGCTACGGGTAATGTAGCCGAAACCCCTGCTCAAATGGTGGAGGAACAAAGTCATGATCATGTTGGTGAAAGTGATATTGGAGGTGAAAATTTTGTTTCTTCAATGAACCAACAAAGCCAACAAAGCACCCCATCTGAAAATAGCCAAAGAAAGAGGAAAAGAGCTGTGGGAAGTTCAAGTGATGGAACCGAGGCAATTATCAGTGGACTGAAAGATTTTTATGTTGAAAGTGGGAAGAGGATGCAAATGGTAACTGAAGCTTTAGTTCAAGGTACTGCAGATCATACTGACATAGCTAATGAACTTGAAGAAATGGGTCTCTCTCCTATGGATCAAATTGATGCATTGTCTTTTATTTTGGATAAACCAAAAAATGTGGGAGTGTTCAGGGCAATCAAACCGGAACTCAAGAAAGTGTTCGTCCAAAGGCTTTTAAGCGACAACGCAAGCGGATGAGGATTTTGGCTAATGTTAACATGGATGTATTTTTATTAACGTTAACATGGATGTATTTTATTAATCATACAATCTTATGTTATGACTTATAACTTAGCTTTGCACTAGTATTTTGGCTTATGTTAACTAGCCATTTTGTAAATTATAGAGATCTATTTTGGCTAATGTTAACTAATGTTAACTAGGATTTTCTAAATTATGGAGATCTTATGTACTTGTATTTGTTGAAGTTGCATGTATTGGCCACTATTATAGCGCGTTTACTAATCCGTAATCAAATTGAGAGGAATCGGATTGAGGAGGAATTTGATTGAGGAGGAATTGAAATGAGGTGGAATCAGAATCAGATTCTTGTTGAAATTGTTTACTAAAACTGTCTGGAATCGGAATACAATTCCATAAAGCTGTTTACTAATTCAGCAGAATCGGAATATAAACCAGTATGATTACTAAAATGCCCTTGTCCCAAATCAAATATTTTATATACTTTTTTTTAATAAAATTTGATATAGTATATAATAGTAACAAACTGATTTTGCATTGAGTAACAAACTGATTCTGCATGAAGTAACAAATTGATTCTGCATTGAGTAACAAACTGATTCTGCATGAAGTAACAAACTGATTATGCATTGAGTAACAAAATGATTCTGCATGTATTTAGGAGTTACTTTAGATCGATTGAATTTACTCTAGGTCGACTGATAAATAAAATGGGTCGACTGATAAATAGAATGGGTCGATAAATAGAATGGGTCGACTGATAAAGGCAACAGTCAGCCCTTTTACACAGA